ATAACTGTGTATAAATGAAAAATAAAGTTTGATTAAAATTTTCTTATTAAGGTAGATTCGTGCTTTATATAAAACTCCTATGTTTTTTGAAATTTTAGTGCTTATGTAGTCGATATGATGATTCCAAGTGATGTTTTCATCAAGGTAAACACCTAAAAATTTTGTTACGGAATCCCTTTTTATTTCATTTTGATCAATAAAAATTTTAGGTAAGTTTAATGGCAAATATCGTTTTTTGGAAAGCGAATGGAATAAGGTCCACTTTGTTTTATTAGAATTTAGAGTTAACTTATTACATTTAAACCAACTCGATACATGTATAAGCTCTTTGTTCATTGTTTTAAAAAGTTCAAAGATATATATTTATATATTTATAATTTATAATTTATATATATATATATAAGTTATAATTATTTATATACAGTGATAATATTTATATACAGTGATAATATTTATATACAGTTATAATATATATATAAGTTATAATTATTTATATACAATGAAATAACAATAATTATATTGATAGAAAATTGTTAACAAACGCAATGACAGCAGCAACAAAACTTAAGTAAAAAGTACAAAAGTCGAATAAAAATTCGAGATAAATAAATAGATAGATATATGAGACGCCTCGCAGAAAAAGGCAGATTTTTAGTTACACAGATAAATGAAATAATGGTTAGTCAGGTAAAAAAATTAAAAAATGAGATTTTTTTTTTACAGTTTGATCATATTACAATACATATCAGATGATTTTTATAAAAAATTTATTTTTAATAATTGCAAAAAAGCTATCTTAAAAATTGTGGAAATAGTACTAGCTCTTCTTTTGACCTGTTGTCAAAATATTTTTCTCTATAAAGCTAAAAAACTTTCTGTATACAGAAAGTAAAAATAAATTTTATTTTTATTTTTATTGCTGTATTATTAATATTGTTATAACACCGTTAGCTACAAAGCTGCGATAGGTAGCCATCAACTAGCTACTGATTGGTCGTTATGCTGAAGTTAACTGCAATACTACAATTTGTAAGTAAAGATGCATTGTAGTAATATTAATTTGTAGCTAAAGATACATCGTAGTAATATTAATTTGTAGCTAAAGATACATCGTAGTAATATTAATTTGTAGCTGAAGATACATTGTAGTAATATTATTAGTTACAAAGCTGCGTTATCTTGATCGCGGCATATTATAAAATAGCAATGTTGCAAGTAATTATTATCACAAATTTTTTAGATCAAATACTGAAAATCGAATTTTTTTAAGATGTAAAAGACATAATAAAACAAGAATGTCATTAAAAAAAATCTTTTTTAATCTAGTCACTAGCTTAAGTCCCGCCGGAATCATCATAACACTGCAAGTCTAAAAGTAAAAATAAAACAAAACTTCTTTATCATGGTCAGATGGCATGCATTTTGACCATACTCCATTAATATTTTTGTTCTCACAAAATGCATTTGAGAGCAAAAATGTTGATAGAGTATATTTGATTAAGGAAATATAACTTTTATTATGCTACTGAAACTTATAAAGAAACCAAATTAAAATTTAAATTGGACCATCATGCTCAGGGTGGTTTAAAACTTAAATTTAAATTGGACCATCATGCTCTTGGTGGTTTGAAACTTAAATTTAAATTGGACCATCATGCTCTTGGTGGTTTGAAACTTAAATCTCGAAAACTTGCAAGCAGCGCTAAATATCAGAAGAAATTGACAACATTATTTTTGCAGAACAAGATGGTTTATAGAATTGAAAAGTCAAAAAAAGTTTTTTAACAGCAGTGGCTTCGATGCGATTATTTTCAATAATCACTGTTATCCTTACAGCTGGTTTGTACAGATGGTCGGGGCAAGAAGACCAGCCATCTGTACAAACGGTGAGTGTCTTATTGCCAAACCCCGAGAATTGGTTCTACAAAAAAAAAATAATTACGTACAGCATTACAATTGTTACCAATATACATAAAAATAGACTTCCTTTTTGAAAAGATAAAACAAAAAGTTACAAAAGAATAAAGAGGTAGAAAAAGAAAAAAAATTTAATTCTAAGGCTCTAAAAATATCAAAAAATTTTAAACAATTTTATTTAATTGATCCATTTTTAAATATAGCAAATAATATAACTGGCAATAAATTTACGCTATAACTTTTCTTTTAAAAAATAAACAAAAAAATAACAAATAGAAAAAAAAAATTGTCTTTTAAATAAAAATAACAAAAAGATGTTAATTAAGAATAAATACTAATTAAAATTATTAATCAAAAGCAAAATCGATAAGGATCTGAATCTCTTCATCTAAAAAAATATATAAACTTGAGCATGATTTAACCAAAGCGACATTAGATTGACAAAGATAAACTCTAAAATAAATTAAAAAAGCTTATCTGTACCATCCAGACAGCTTCCGAAGAAGTCGTGCACTCCGCCACTTATCACTCCGCCACTTACCAGAAGCATTTACTTAAATTTTGCTTTAAATTCATTTCATGAGTTTCATGAGTTTTAAGTTTACATTTAAGATTATTTACGAATATTATTCCATTTTGGCCCTCTAATAGATATTGAAAACTCAGTTGCAGCAAAAAAACTTTTAGGCTGAATACAAGTGCTGTTTGAATATCTAGTTAAGTATCTATTGGCGATAAGACTATTTTTGCTTATTTTTGGTGATAGGACTATTTTGTTTTCTTCTTGCCGCCGCTATTTGTATATTTTACAAATACAAAAATTGTAATTATTTTTAAAGGCAAATTTATTTTAAAAAATATTAAAAAACCTATGCTTATTTAAAATGAATAACAAATTAAAATGTGTAGTGTCATTTTACAATAAATTTTGAACATAAAAATTAAAAGATGAAAAATGTTTAGTTGGTAGACATTGAGTATATTCAGCTTTATAAAAGGTTCGTGTGTAAAAGTGCGTAAAACGGTGTACATTTGATAATATTTTAACTAAATGCTTTTGTTTATGAAAGAGTTTTTTAATTTTGTTTAGATATGTGCTACACCAAACTATGTCTGCGTAGTTCAGATAACAATGAATAAAGGAGAATTATAGAAACTTAAACAAGTTTGATTTAATAAAGACCTCGCTTTATGTTTCTTGAGATTTTACCTCCAAGATAATGTATATGATCTGTCCGAGTTACCTTTTTGTTATGGAGTATGTATAGAAATTTTAATGAGTGTTCTCTTTTTATAGCTTGACTACCAATACAAAGTTTTGAAAGTTTTGAGGAAATTTTATCACGCGTTCAAGAAAGCGATAGAAAAAAGTATGCCTTGTTTTAGTTAAACTAATAGAAGATTTATTTGCATTAAACCATTTTGCAAGAATTCCATGTTAACAGAATTAAACAGGATTTTTATATCATGATGAGTGCGAAACAAATTTGTGTGAAAAAAATCATCAGCAAACAAAATAACGTCTATAGACGTTTTTTTGTTTGCTGATGTTTTTTTTCACACAAACTTGTTTCACACTCATCATGATATGTATGATGTAATTTAGTCTGTAATTATGTAATTTACTTTGCAAAGTAAATTATAATATTTGCTACAATCATTAATATAGTTAAAAAATAAGAGTGTTCTAAAATAAACCTTTGGGGAATCCCGCAGTTTGTATTCATACTATCAGTTTCTCCGCAGCTAAAAAAATATATATTGTTTCCTATTTGATAAATAGCTTTGAAACCATTTAGTATTTGAATGTTTAATCCTGTAATCTTCTAGTTTATTTAAAATGTTATGATGATCAACATGAGTCAAATGCTTTGCTAAGATCAATAAATACACCTAACGTAAATTTATTTTCATTAAACGCCTGAAAAATATTTTGAACAAGATGAATAATTGCTTGATCAGTGGAAGATTCTTTTTAAATCCAAATTGTTTATTGTAATTTCTAGAAAGGTAAATATTCTGTAATACATAATGTATTCAAATAGTTTTGAAAAGCATGGTAGTATTTAGAATAGTCTGTAATTGGAGACGCTTGTAACATCTCCAGATTTTGATACTGGTACCATACTTATAATTTTAAAGTTTATAAGGAAAGACTTACTCCAGAGAATTATTAAAAATATGCATGCTGAGATTTTAAATAAAAAATTGATTTTATTATTACATTACAGCAAACACTTTCAAAACCTAAATCTTTGCTTGGTTTTAAAAAAGAGGCAACATTAAATAATTGTTTTTCAGTTAGTTTATTGTTTTCCAAATTATTAATATTCATTAATAATTTCGCAGTCATTTGTAAGAAATTTTTCGGAAGACTATAACAACTGATATTTTTTTTACCTATGACGTTCTTAATTATGTGTCATGTTTTTTGTGAATTTTATTAATTGCCTAGTATAGTTAAATTTTTTTGAAAACGTTATAATTTATTCAAAAAGTCGTTTTTAATTTTTTTAACTTGAATCATTTTTAAGTACTCTTTTTTTAATAAATTTTTAATAGTAACATTTTTTTTTTTTTAATGATTTTATGATATCCGGTGTTATCAAAGGATTTTGAATTGTTTTTCGAAAATTAGTTAGTTAAATTACATTACACAAAATGGGCGTGTTTCGTGGGCGTGTTCCATCAGCTCTTCAACAGCTAGCCGGGCTAGTTATGTGCATAATTATGTATGTTGTGCATGGATGATGATGCGCTGTAGTAATTATATTGATAACTGATCGATTTTTGCTTCAATGCTTGACATTATGAGCACTGACAACTTTGTTTGGTAGTACGTTCCATGGATAAGCAACGCATTTTTTTAAAAAAGTTGAATCGAACGAGGTTGTTTGTTGACTATTTTACAAAGAAAGCGCTTGCGATGACCGTTGCTTGGTTGGTTGTTAACTGGAGCAACATGCCAGCTAACTGAGTTAATGTTGATTTTGATTTTGTATTCCAAGTCCAAATTTGATGCATTTTATCTTGTAGTTGAAGCGCTTCATTTCGTGTGGTACTTTGGTAGCTCGATGTTGGATGCGTCCTAAGTTAATTATATCTTTTTTGAGGTACGGGCACCAGGGAATACCTGCAAACTCAAGATGTGGGCGTTAATAGGTGGTGTAAAAATTTTTTTTTTTTATTTACATTAGTTTGTTGTTGCACAATTATATAATGATAATAATAAAAAAATACCAATTACAAGTACCTTTCACAAATTTACAACGATAAACTATATAAAAAAAATAACTGAAATAATATCACAAAGATCTTGTCATCAGAACCTTAAATAATCCATTTTTTTAATGCATAAATAAAATTCTTACAATAACTTCTCACATCATTTTATAGTACTTAAGTTTATGAAGTAAGATGGTATGTTGAGCTGTATCAAATGCCTTTGAAAGGTCAATAAAAATACCAAGTGAGTATTGAGAATTTTCAAAAGAATTTGATATCTCACGTACGCATTGAATGATTGCATGTTCAGTAGAACTGTGTTATTTGAAACCAAATTGGTTGTTATATATTAGATTATTATAATGTAAATAGTTATACGCTCTAATATACATTAATTTTTCTAAAACTCTTGCTTTAATTTTTTTAAAGATTTAAAGGCTTTTTCAAACTCTTCAAAAGATAATTCTGAAGATAATTCATTAGAATTAATGCAAATTTTTTTTTTTTTTTTGTTTATATTGAAACAAAATTTTTTTTTTTTTTTTTGTTATATACACACCAGTGTGTATCTATCACTCCTAGACACAAGTGTGGAGTTATTTTGCACACTTTTTTGGAAATTAACTTTTTCTAATTTGGCTTCTGTACAGAAGTGTGGAGTTATTTGCACAAAATTGTGCAAAATAACTCCACACTTGTATCTAGGAGTGATAGCTACACAACGGCGTGGAGAAAACTCCACACTTTCCGCGAGTGTGTGCATTTTGAGTTTTTTTATACTTATTGAGTAGTTTAGAGAAATAGTTTTTTTTTTTTATTGCTTGCAAGTTTTTTCAAAGAGATATTTAAAATTCTTGTATATTTTTTCATTTTTAGGCGGTTTTGTTTTTAAATATGTTATATATAGTTTTTGCTTCAGTTTTGATGACTTTTGAAATTGTTTAGTAACCCAAGATTTATATGAGTTATTTGGATTGATTGTTTTTTCAAAACATGGAAAATTGGCATCGTAGATAGAATAAAATGTGCTGAAAAAATGATTATAGATAGATTGTAAATTTTTAAGTTGATAGTAATTTAAACGCCTAGGTCTTTTTCGGATGTTGTTGACTTGAGTTTAGTTCTGTTGACCTCGCTGTTAGCGTAATACTCGTTCATTGAGTAAACGTGTGGCAGAAGGTTGTATTTTTGTGCATAACCTTGCATTTCTTAATGATTCGCTCCATCAACCAGTTTCGAGCCCAGGTTACAATGTTATCCATTTCACCTTGAAGACGAGCTTTGACTTTAGCGGTTTTGACGACGCTCAGAATTTTATGACCGTCTACATACATTTTATAGATGCTTTCACTGCTAACGCGCTCAGATAAGATGTTGATGAAGATTATAAAGAGCGTAGGACCTTGCACTGAATCTTGGGGAACGCTATTGGTGACTAGTTCCCAGTTAGATAAGGTGTTTCCGAGAAGAACGCGTTGTGATTTATTTGAAAGAAAAACTTTAATACAGTCAAGAATTTAACCTTCAATTCCGTAGGATTAAGGTTTTTACAATAGTCTTTTGTGAGGGACTTTGTTGAAAGCTAGGCAAAGTCAAAAATGAGCCCAGGAAGTTTATGAGATACGCTGTAGGTTAGAAAGTCTATGGTCTCGAGCAGATTCGAAAAGCAGGCTTTTTTATTGACAAAGCCGTTTTTTTTTAAATAAATTTTATAATTTTTGGAAATGCTTTATTATAGTGGTTTTGAAATATCTGATTGAAACTGTTATAAGCTATATCTGTATTTTTAGTTTTCAGGACAGGTCTTCACATTGGATTTCAGGTTTAATAATATTAAAAATATTCATTAGTATTAAAAAATATAAACAAAATGATTTCATAATGATATCCTAAATTTATTTTGTGAATGGTTAGTAGTCATATTTTATTTTTATTATTTCTAACCTTCTCCCTCTCTTCCCCCCCCCCCCCTCTCCCTCCTCTAATCTTTTTTTTTTTTTTGTCTCAATGTCGCTTTGTTGAGTGGGGTGAGATCAAAAAACAAAACAATCAAAAATTTAATAATCGGTTTTGTGATTTATTTAAATCAAAACAAAGTTTATATTAAAAAAATGAACGTCGAAAAAGACGCAGAAATAAGATGCGATTCTTTTTTTAAACATCCTAAGGTAAAAAAAAATATTAGAAGTATAATAATATATAATATATTTTACATATAGTATATATAACATATTTTGTGTATAAATAATTTACTTAATTGTTTATTTTTTAAATAATAGCTATTGGAGCTTAAACTTTTGGGAATAAATTCAAAAGTGGCTGAAGATGCTCTATATGTATACTTACAACTCATTGAAGGTAAAATTTTGTTAATTGGTTCAGTTTTATTATCATTGCGTGTGTGTGTGTGTGTGTGTGTGTGTGTGTGTGTGTGTGTGTGTGTGTGTGTTTGTGTGTGTGTGTGTGTGTGTGTGTGTGTGTGTGTGTGTGTGTGTGTGTGTGTGTGTGTGTGTGTGTGTGTGTGTGTGTGTGTGTGTAATCCTTTAAGTTTATTGAATTTATCCTCAATTCTTTCTCACACAACATATATCTAAATCAATCCACATTAGAAAAAACCGAATTCCAACCATCATCAACCAAATACTAACATCCAAATGAAATATAATTACACCAATTAACCTTGCTTGGAATAAGAGTCATGACTAGGCGATCTCAGACCCCATATGGGGAAGAGGGGGAGCAGCAAATTTTGGGGGGCTTTTTTGCAAGTTTAAGAAGCTTTTTTTTAGTAATACCTTAAGAATTTTTTTTTTAGATTTTTGGTCTCTAATAACATGGTGTTTTTCGGGGGGCAGGAAGGGGTGTGGTGGGGGAATTTTCAACTTACTAGTCACAACACTGCTTGGAAAAGTCATTACATACTATACTTTACCTTAATAATCAAATCAATCAATTTATACCATATTAATTAAAAAATACTTACTCTCTAAAAGGCACTATAATATCATCAGTATTGATCTGTTAGTTTTAGTACTAAATTGATATTATAACTCAGAACAAGTATTACTGACATATTTTTTATACTTATAGTAAAATTGCTAAATCTTTTAATTCAAGGTAGTATAGGGGAGGATGAGAAACATTTGACCATAGGGAACATTCAACCTTTCAAATATTTTCAAGCATGCTTAAAATTACCACTTAAAATTTTTATGCATGTTTTGTCTGTTAATTAGTAATCGCGGTAAAACAAGTGTTGATCCTTCTTCATGATCATTAGTACTTATATAGAAGAAAATTTGATTATTCAGGCTTGGTTGGGGATCGCACTCTGTATCTGACCACGAATAATATTTAGTTGCAACAACATGGGTACAGCTTTTTAAATGTTTTAAGAACATTTCAAAAAGTGCAAAAAACAAATAACTTGGCAATAGACAACTACTAAAAAAATTAACTAAAAAAAAAAATGAATTCTTAACGAAGAAAAAACTTAACTAAACAAAATAAATTACGTTAATATCATCAAAGAATTTAATATAATTTCTTATTTAAGTGTTTATGTTTTATTTCAACAAGGTTTTTAAATAAAAAAAAAAAATATATATATATATATATATATATATTTATATTTATAACCATTTTATGCTTTGCGTAATTTGTAAAGTTTAAGATGATTCTTCTTAAGTAAGATTAACAAAAGAAATGATTAAATTGTGGCATTACTGTAAAAATATTATAACAATCTTTTTTTTTAGCAGTGTTAAAAAAAAATTCTGCTATGCCCCAGACCCCTGAAACTGCAGTCTATCATGAGATTTAATGACTTTATATTTTAATATAGATTTAATAACTTTATATTTTACTTAAGTCCATCGGTTTATTATACTTATATATTTATGTATGGACGTCTGTCATGGTGCTGGTTCACCCGTAAGTCATTTTATCTAAATTTATGTTTGCGTTTTGTTCCAACCTCTGGCGGGGTGTTCATTCACATGTAACTCACTATGTATATATGTATGTTTATGTTTTTTTGGTTGCAAGTTTCTGTATGTTTATTTGATTATTGATTTTATTAACTTTGATGATTAATATTTTTTAACTTTTATTGAAAGCGCAGTTGTCGTTGAAAGTCTTATTTTTATAAAATCAATCATATAAATATTTTTAAAAGATTTACATATAAAGCATAAAAAATTAATCACGGAAACACACATAAATTTGAATGTTCTCAAAACATTTAAAAAGCTGCGGCCAAGTTGTCACAATTAAATATAATCTGCGTGGTCAGGAATATAGTGCGTTTGCACATATTCCTGACCACGCAGATTATATTTAACTGACCACTTATAGTAAATGACCAGAGTTGATATTTGCCTGGGTTTGTGACAAGAACTACATAAACATTTACACATCTTTAAGTATAATTTTTTTATTCAAAATTCATGTTATATTTTGTATATATGCATAGATAAATACCATTATGATTAACATGATCATCATCATTATCATCATCATCATCAACATCATCATTTTCTCTTTTGGCAAATACTACACCATATAAATACTAAAGTTTATATAAATAAGAAAGGATATTGTATGCCAGCATTTAAATAAATAGCAAACATACATGTTTATATCCATAATATGTATGCATAAAGAGCATCCCAGAAGCTTTTATTCCTTCTGGACTAAAAGTTTGGAAGCTTTTATTCCTACTCTTCATGTCAAACCTCATTCTACTCCATATTTTTTTTACCCTCTTGAGCAGTTGCTTTATTAAACATTTATTTCATCTTTTTTACAAGAACATCTTTCTTTAGAACAAATGTCCTTTTATTATTCCAAGAAGCCAATGTAAAAAGGTCCTGTCTGATGTTAAGCTCTGTTATTCTCAGTTTACTAAATCTTTTATCTTATAATAGATGTTAGGTTCTAGAGACTTTTGGTTAATCTTCAACAATGTCATTAACTGTCATTAACATCTAACATTTAGTCTTATTAATTATATAATATTTAATAATATTTATTTTTTAAAAAGTGCTAAATAAGTGGTTCCAATTTTTCAAAACTATAGAAAACACTTTGACCTATCCAACTATCCTACGATAAGTCTTCACTCTGTTTTTAGTTTCTTTATAAAAGGTTTTGAGTTATTTAAATTATTTCTCACTAACTGCAGTAATAAAGTTATTCTTGAAGGCCTACACTCTTCTTTATTTCAAGTAACTTTAAGGGTACCACAAGGTATTTTGTAGCGCCCTTAAATCTTTGCTCCTGTATTGTTACTTATCTACATTATCAATTTTCATGAAATTTTAACATCTAAAGTGGCTCTTTTTGTTGACGACTTAACTTTATCTCTTGCCTTGACAAAAAATCTTCACTTTTTGATTGCTTAGAACAAGCAGCTGATTTTTAATCTGATCTCTCTTCTGTAACAGCCGAAGGTTGCTAAGGCTGTTGCTAAGGCTTGCTGTGGCTTATGGATTTAAATTCTGGACTTGAAATCTTCAATTTTGCAAAAAAAAAAAAATATTGCAATAATGTTTAATGTTATTCCTATATTGATGAATAACAACCCTCTTACTCTCAGACAAAGTCTAAAAGTACATTGTAAATGTAATGCGGTTGTGGTGTAGTGTTAGAGCGCTCGAGTCATAAGCGAGAGGTACCGAGTTCAATCCCCACCACATCCCTGGTAGTAACTTGCTCAACTTGTTATAAATACATTTATCTAACATACATACGTACATACATTTTCCTAATTCCATTGGAATTAGGATAAATGTATTGGAATTCCCTTGGAATTAGGCCTTAAACTGTTAGAGGTCGACATCAAGTCTGTGAAAACAATTTGACGTAAAGGGGTTATCAGACAAAGTAGAAACAAGATTAGCAATTTTTTTGCCAACCTTTTTGGTCTGCAATTAGGTCGGCGTTGCCAAATGCCGACTGTAATTCCGAGAGCTGTATACATACACACACAGACTTGGCCAGGAAGGCATGTGATTTCACGTCATAATATGACTACGTAAATACTATTTGATTTTACTTAACTTGACCATGGTGTTAAAATGTTTTGAAAATTTGTATACATTTTAAAAACGCGCTAAAAATATTAAATCAAATCTTAACTTAACTATAAAGAAACATAAAAAAAAATTATTGTTAAAAAAGCTAATAAACCTTTGTAAAAAAAATAACGAAAAACAAAGTTAAAATAGCTTAACTAAAACTAAAATAGTTACTTATAATATTAAAAAATATATATTATTCATTAATGTTTTTATAAAAAATCATTAGAAGTGATTTGTTACTTTATTTAAATGCGCTACTTTAAATTCGTTATAAAAATGTAAGTATAGATCAAAGTTATTTAATTCATGTGGCTTTCAAAAAAGTTTGTCTTTTTTTTTCTTCTCAACAAAAACTTTAATGATTCTTATATAAAGTTTATTAAAGGGACCTTTGCTGTTTAAAGTCGCCGCTTATAAAATTTAATTTTTTTTTTTAATTTTAGTTTTTTTTATTTTTACTTATAAAAAAATCTTATATAATTAAATAATATAAATAAAAAATTGTACAACTTTCAATGATACTTTAATTTAAAAGCATTTTGCTAATATAAAAATGTTAGTAAAGATAAACATGTCATAGTAATTTATTTTCAACATAATTAAAAAACAATTTTTTCAGCGCATTTAATAAAAACCGTGGTAAAATCACCAAAACAAAATATTATTTGCGTGGTCATATAAAGACTTGAAATCATATGCCTTCTTGGCCAAGCCTAATGCATACATACATACATACATACATACATACATACATACATACATACATACATACATACATACATACATACATACATACATACATACATACATACATACAGGCTTCGGCAGGAATGGCAGGCTATAGACTGCGCCCGTCTCCGCACCCGTGCAAATCAGTTTACACAGGCAAATAAAGCCCATGCCAAATATAAATTTTTGGTAAGAATAAAGTAAAATATTTTTATGTTTTTATTTAGGTATTCTTTTAAAAACTTCTTAAATGATGCAACTTTGTAAAACTGTTTGTTTTACTAGTTAGAAACAATTTTTTTCCAGAAATGCTTAAAAAATTATGAAAAAATAATTTTTGAATATTCTGATTTAAAAATAAAAATCAAACAAGTTATTTCAAACAACTATAACTGTTCCGTATTATTCTGGGTTATGTTAAAAGATAAATAATTAGTAGGTTAAAATGCAGGTTAAAATGCAGGCAAAATATGCATGTGTTGCAAAAGAATTTAACATAATTGTCCAGGTTTTCAGTATTCTTTGAAAATTTTTAAAATTATACAT